GTTTTATATCAAAGTTAGATATATTGCTATTTGTTAATATTATATTTGTAATAATATAGTTAATAATAATAAGCTTTAAATCTTATAGATTCCTAAAACAAATCAAATAATAGATATATTAATAAAAGCTTTGTTTATATCAAAATTCGCTTAACATTTAAAAGATTTAGAATTAATTGCTTAAGATTGGCTTAAATAATAAAATATATATCTGGATCTATTTGGTTTTATTTATATTTATCTAGATTTATATCTATCTATATTTATTTATACTAATCTATATTTATCTATATCCATCTATATCTAGATAGTTATAGATATTAAATATCTACCACTTCATTAAAAATAGAATATCAAAAAGAATATTCTTCTTTATTAAAAAAGTAGAAAACCTTTAAAAAAGAATTAGAGTATTCTTATATTATAATATATTTATTATAAAATAATGGAACTTTATAAAAGATTAAATATTATTATATTATTTATCATCAAAAGAATTAACGAGGTTCTTGAATTCATTTAAAGATAAAATTCAGGTATATAATCTGATAATATTTTATAATTGATTATTCTAATTAATAGGGGGATATTGGAAGTATAATATAGAGTTATATAAGGTTATATAATATAGTTCATATGATATTATTTATATGTATATGTTTTATACATTTATATATATATCCAATATCACTAGAATATCTCTAAGGATATATACATACAATATTACTACTGTTATACCTATTATGATCTTAGTGATATTCTAACAAAACTAGCAGCTTAGTTTAGACAATTCAAACCATCAGTTGGTTTAGTTTATGATATTCTAACTAGTAGTTGGATTTTGGGGTTCAAATTACCAATTTAACTAGAAACTGATAGTTTAATTAGCAATTTAATTTGTTGAATTTGATTGCTAATCGATTTAGTTTATGATATTCAAACTGCTACTTAAACTACGCTCTCTCAAACTGCTAGTTTCTTGACTGGTTCCAACTATTGACTATAATACAAGAACCACTGGCAGGTTTCTATCAATCTTTCCTTTCCGTTCCTTTCTTTTTACCCCTTTCTCTCTCTTTATAATCTTACCTATTAAATAAGCGACAAGCGACATCCTACTTACTTACTATACGAGTAGCCCTATATACAGATCCCAATAGCTTCCCTCGCCCTCTTCTATCTCTATACCATATCTATACCCTTATAGAAAAACAGACCTCGTTATATATAATATACTACATAAATCTTTTTTATAGTAGATATATATATATACCAACCACATCACATCACATCACATCCCATCCCATCCCATCCCATCCCATCCCATCCCATCGCATTACACCAACTCTCGTCATTCATACTTTTAGTTAATAACCAAGCCTTCCCTTTATTTCCTTTCCCTTCCCTTCCTTCCCTTCCTAATATCAACATTTCATTCCATTCCAATACCATACCAAAACTATACCATACAATCCTACTCTCAAAAATATACTCCTACTCTCAAAACCACACTTCTTCCCTTCCCTTCACCCCCTTCACCCCCACCCCTTCCACCCCTCCAATCCCACCTAATTCCACCCAAACCATCCAACATCCAACATCCAACATCCAATCACAACAAAATCTCAAAATCAGCAAACGATACCAGTACTGTAACAGCCTACCTTGTACCTATCTATATGTTGAAATTGCAGAAATTTTCCACCTCCTGCCCGCTCTTCATTCATCCATCAATCCAATCACATTACATATTCAAAATTCATAATTCATAAATCTTTATTTCTTTCATCTAATCGATAGTGAAATCTAACCTCTATTTATACAAAAACACACACATATTTCCAGGTATTCCTATATTTACTTAAGATCCTTCGCCTCTCCAAAATCTGTACTGGGTGTCCCACTAGGTTCGTCTCCTACAACGATACCTACGACTTCTCCATGGTGCATGGCGTCCATATCTATACTTGGACCTGTAAAGTTCTTTTTGCCATCCACGAACCATTGGACTACTGCTATGACGAAGACGAGGAAGAAGGCTACTACGCAGTAGTCTATTTTGTGATGTATTAGTATTTGTAGGAGAAAAATGATGGGAGAAAGTGATGAATTGGGGGACATACTCATATTACTTCCAGTAACAGGTAATTCTGGAGGGAAGAGGAAGAGAACTGTTGTCACCATGACATATGCAATACCAATCTATTTCATATCCATTAGCCAATATCACCCCAAAATAATAGTAACATGAACTCACCAAGTTGCAAACCCAAGCCACTGGTTCAGGTAATTTGAATTCCCTTGTTTCAGGTAAACATTTTCTACCCCTGAGACAATTGATCGAGATAGGTATCGCATAACTGACACCTAATGCCACTACACTGGCACTAACAATCGCGTTGAAAGCCGATGAGCTTCCTAAGAAGACGAGTCCAAAGAGAAATACACATGCCATTGTAAGATACAATGCATTAAGTGGGAGTGCCAATTTTGGATGAACTCTAGAAAAGACGCTTGAAAATGGAAGACCACGATCGCGAGCAAATGCATAAGTCATGCGCGTGGATGTGGTTGCAATGGAGATAGTAGCGAAGAGAAGACAGACGAGTGGAAAGATGAGGAGACAGATTGCTCCTACCTTACTACCTGTCGCGTGGTAGAAGATTTGAAGCAATGGACCCGCGGAACTTCCAATAATTTCATCGACATTACCACCCACGAATAGAAGGACCATCAGGAATATGAATCCGGTAAAGATACCAATCAAAACACATCCTATCATAATTCTTGGACCTTGAACTCCTGGGTTGGGAATTTCTTCAATCATATGAGCGACGGCGTCGAAACCAGTGAGTCCAAGACCAGCTTGGAGTAAACCAAGAAGCCAAGCAACCCCATCGGGCCATCCCGTGCTGTTTATAAAGTCGGTGAAGACGAATGTTGCATCGTTATATTCTGGAGAAGCCGTCGCCAGGACTGTGATACTAATAACTGTAAAACCAACAATCGACCAAATGAAAGCCGATTTTGTGATCAGAGGTAAAAGCGATGTCATGAATGCATTGATGATAAAAGCGATAATATTGTATGCGATGTAGAGGAGGAATTGATGCCAACGTTGAGGCGCATAATTTGGGTGCATGAGCGCAATGACGCCGACGATAAGTTGTGAACCTAGAAGACCACCTGATGCGACAAGTGCGATCCAACCAGAGACATTGATCCATCCGGTAATCCAGCTAAGGATGGGAACATATTTCTTCCAACTTATGACTGCCACCCAATGATATTGACCACCTGCTGTCGGATAGGCGGAGAGGAATTCGGCAAGAGAGACGGCGAGGCAGAGATTACATACTCCGGCGGCTGGAAGATTACAATAAGCATCCGGTCCATGAATCCAATATGACATTGAGAATAAAACTTACTGAGTAAACCCCAAAGAACTGAAGTTGGTCCACCACTTGGCAAAGCTATACTTAAACTTGTAGCCAAAGCCGTCCAAGAATTGAGGATCGCGAATGCAAGACCCAACATAGAAAGCATAGAGAAATTGCGTCCTAATTCTTGTTTATGGCCATGAGCAGCCAATTGGGCTGCATCTGCATCAACATCTGGATCTCGAGGCATAGCAAAGCAATTTGATAGAGAAGAGAGAAACTGATGAGAAGAGATGAAAACCGACAGAAAGAGAAAAGAAATATGATATTTCTCCCATATATTTCTCACTTATCTAAGATTGAAGAGATAATAGTAATACTATACCGTACCCACAGCGTGTACGTACAATTACCGACCCCGCAAAATTGATAAGAGGGATGACAGTAAGGAAATAGTCAAGCGCTTTCCAAAAGATCAACATGGATAATTGGATATGGATAACATTTAAGGATTTAAGGAAATGATTATGTAAAATTTTTACTTACAGATTGATATAAGGGTCCAGCTAGTCGAACGCTTTCCAAAAGATCAGCATAGATAATTGGATAATAATAGATATAGATGAGATTTAAGGATTTAAGAAAATTGTTATGTAAAAGAATTACCTATTAAAGATTAACATGGGGTCCTGCTACGGACTAGTCCACCAATTCCGTAACCTTACTCTCCGGCCGGGGAAAGCCCTATCTTAGACCCCTGGCACGTGATAAGTTAAATTATAGATACCGTATGAGAATTATAAATTATACCCATCTTGTAATCATGCGAATGATGAAATGAAGATAACGGAAATTGGCGAGTTTGGGGTTGAATCGTAATAACGTGGCAATTGAAACATCACAGTAATCTTGCCGGGCATATATCCAGGAATATTTTTTGGATTCATGTAAATGATAGAGATAGGTATGCATTTATTGGTACAAGTAGCCAGCCAGCGGGATCGCCGTACAGGGGAGAATGCATGATGTCCACGACTCCACGGTGAAGTCAGATGGACTTTCTGCCGATCATTCTAGGTATGTATGAAGTTGTCAGATCAACTAGACTACTTACTAACAGTAAGATCACACTCACTAAGAAGTCTAACTTGACCTGATTTTCCACTTGGGTCCAGATATTGAACTGAACATGGTGCTCGAAATTGAGGAGATGCAACTATGTAGCCAGTGAACCGTGGGGCCGATAACATGAATACTGCCGTAAGGTAACTAACTTTGGTTCATATGCTCGGAGCCCGTTGGTATATTGTCATGTAGGTACAGTAATAGGAGTACAATCAATAGAAGGCGACTCGACTGATATTTGCCTACCACCATCCTTTTTTAACTACTTCCAGTTTCTTCTCTTCCCCTGCAACCTTCACGCTGCCATCTTTTGGTATCGATCTTGGCTTCTTCAGTTCAATCCTCCAGGTAGTTCCACCATGGCGTCGTTTAATATTCACAACTTCAAGCCCACTCTCTTCGACAATCTTGCCCAAGTCTCTATTCCACCAACATCCGAATAGCTTCGCATGCCCTTCTGCGCTATTATCCAACGCTCTGTTCAACCAATCCCATTTCGCTCTTCCATGCTCTAATAATAATATGCGCCCCTCGTCTTCTTTCACACACTCTCCTAGATTCTTCAACAGTCCTACCGGGTCGGCGACGGAACACAATCCCATAGTCTGGATTACCGTATCATATTTCGCTCCTTCATTCCCGCTTGTTTCATTTGCATTTCGAGGGGGGCCTGGTATTTTCTCAGCAGCATCTTGAATAATCCATCTCACGCCCAAAACTCCTGGGAACAATGTCGAAAACTTCTCATGCGCGACTTCCAACATCTCACCACTTTTATCAACAGCTGTAAAACTTCTGACTTTCCCCCTCTTGATACCACCTCTGTTTTGAACTTTCCCAACACCATTGAAACCTTTGAAATCCCAATCATAAAATTCTAGATTTCTGCCTGTACCAATAGATACCTCCAGTACATCTCCATATGCTTCTTGCGCCAATTTCTTGCGCATTTTCGTGATTCCCATACTCCATTCCGTCCAATCGACTTCCGAGTCAAAGGTAGACGCAATATTATCATAACGCGATGAGACATCCGTTTGGACCTTAGGGGCAGACGATTCGGTCGGTTCTCTGTTTAGTAATATAAACAAATAGGAAGAGTAACCTGCGAATATGAAGGCCGTGAAACAACTCCCTATCAAGGCAAATTTCCTACCTCGAAGTGGATGTTGTTTCGGTGATGGAGGGGGTGGAGAGGGCGTAGGATTTAGAGGTTGTCTTGGAGTTGGAGTTCTGTGGCGAAATTAGTTAGAGCCCCTTGATATCTGAACCCGGAAGCTCTACTTGTATTGCTGCTGAGGTCTCGAAGTGGTTTTTGGGATCTGGGGTTTCTTTTTCGCGGCTCGGACTGTCGTTGTGCTTATTGAGCGGTGACGTAGATCAACACTTCGATTGACCATCAGTCCAGTATGCACCATCCTCTTCCTAACAATCTCCATGATGATAGCCCTGCTGCTCATCCCAGGTCTGTTTTATTCCAGGCGTGGCGGATACTGCGATTGGTTATCTTCTTCTGTGGTATTTGGGATATCAAATTGTTGTTTCCGCTTCACAGATCAGATGGTCTGGAGATATGTGGCGTCGATGTGTGCTGAAATGGTTGAATTACGTGTGAGAAAGTGGTCGAAAGATGGATTTATCTTATCCGATTCGGCATTTCACAAGGCTGCGCGCAAGGCTAGATCGAATTTCTCCCGGACATGCTTCACTCAATGGATATTCTTGCGAAGAGGTTGACATTAGAATAACTTGTTTGGTAGAGAACCCTTGAAGTGGTGTTATCCTAATCCCCGTACTTGTTCGTTCATCCAAAGTTCTGCTTAGCCAAAGCCTTCAGCATAGCCATAGTCCCATCCTCCTTCTGCCTGTACTCCTGTAGCCTCTCCTCTCGTTCAGCTTGTCTAGCTCTCATTATTTCTTCCTTCCTTAACTCTCTCTCATTCTTCTTCCGCTCGAAGTCTTCCTTTTTCTTTTTGAATTCCACAATTCCATCTTCACCGCCCCCCATTAATTCAGTATCCGGAACTTCTGCGGCACCAGGGGATTTCTCTCTAAAGGACTTCATCTTTTCGTTCACTTCTTTCTTCTTTTCCAACTGGCGTTCTCGTGTGCCGGCTTCAGCGCGCGGTACCAATTCATCTAGTGCGTCCTTTTGTTCTTTCCGATCGACTTTTCGTTCAAATCTCATGTCATCGCGCCGAGCTAATTGGTCTTCGACAGCCGTTTCTGTGACACAGTTAGATACTATTATACTTCAGCCCGTCACCGATCGATGTTGAATACCTTTCCTCAACTCCAAATCTTCCATATTTGGTATGCTGGGTCCCAGCCTATTTCCTCTAGCTCTGCTTGTTTGTCCTGGTAATGTTGGGCCCATTGAATCATCGCTATCATGACCGTCGTCCTCCATCCTGCTGGGCTCATCTTGTTCGACTTCGCGCTGTCCAAAACTCGATGAAGGCTCGTTCGATTGTGCCAGATTGGATTCTCGGGCAATTTCCTCCGCATACTCCTTCGCTGTTTCTTGAACTTTTCGCATGGTCGATGGATCATACCAACCTTCTGAAAGTTCTCCACGATTCCTCACACATGTTAGCCAATAATCCAAGGCTTTCTTGAGCCATAACTAGAATTCGGGATTACCATTTTCCAAAGAAACTCTTCCATCTCCCTTTGACTTCTGTGTCTCCTAACTCATCCAAAAATATGCCTTTCTGAATATCCAAATACGATGCAAACATTGGTTTGAACGTCTCGTAATCATGTTTCGTGATTGGCCTACAATTGTACGGCAGAGGCTCTGGTGCTGCTTCCTTTGGTCGTTTGCTTTGATGATGTTTACTATGCGGTGATCGTCTTCTGTGAGTATGGGAATGATGTCGCCGAGGTGATCTGGAACGTGAACTTCGTCTGCGACCGTGTTCGCGCTCTGGCTGTGTGCTATCTGCCATGGTTGATAATGTGGATGGTCTAAATTTAGGCTATCAAAACAGATAAGAAGCCCAAAGGCACGGTCCTTGGTTAGGACTTATAATAGTTGGATTTTTGGCACCGTCTCACGATAATAATATTCACCCACAGGCAACAAATCCAAGAGACGAAGATTTCGCAGTGAGCCTTCTCAACACAAACTCCTAATATTAATTCTAGTATCGCGGAGGCGCCAATCCAACGATAATATCGCGTTGATACGTCCGTACACCTGTCCAAAGATTTGTAACCCCAAAAAGCAGCCCAAGAAATCCCAAGAAATCCCAAGGACAAGAAAGATGTGATGACAAGATCAATGAGCCAGATATCTGGATTCATAGGCCGAGATGATATCGATTTCATGATATTCTTGACATTGGCATAATTAGCGTGCGAAGTGGTTGCAGTTACATTGAGATCAAAACTAAAATTGAGCCTCAATCTTGATACTATTGTGCTTGGGCTCATTGTCGACCGGCCACTCCATCTTTATGGCTTCTTCTTTTATCTCTAATTTTGGAGTTGAAGGCCTCGATTGGGATTCATAACCATCATCAGATGGAACCTGCCTCTGAACATTGATGCGATTTAGTTTGATATCGGTGATATAAGATGGGGCCCTCAACAGCCATTTTAGAATTATCGAGCTGCTATTTTTTGCTTGTCTCTCTCCCACAAGTCCAATGTGGTATACGACAGTCCTATCATTTTCGTCTGCTGAACTTTGGTAAGACGCTGCGGCTAGGGGCAATGGTAAATCTTCTAGCATGATAGATGTTCGATCACCATCGGAGATCAAGGTGCAATGAACTGGCGTTGTATTGTTTTGTCGATTCCGACTATTTCTCAAACGAGCAAGTATTCGATTGTACAATTCAGACACAGATATAGCTTCTTGCGTTGCGGCCAACGACAACTCCCGTATGAGCGCGCATGTGAAAGAGTTGTCGCCAGCCGGAGCAGTTGTCTGAAATCCACATGATGCAATTAACTCTGTGACACTTCCTGCCGAAGGACTGAGTGTCATCGCAGTATCTGCAAAATAGCACGCATCGTAAAACAGAATCGCATCTGATCTAGACTCCTCAAGAAGAGTTTGGATACCACTAGAAGGCATACAAGGGCCTCCATGCTCTCTAGTTCTATATCATTGTTAGTTGGAGAGCAATGGTGGTATACACTAAACTTACGCATGCCAGATATGGTCATTCCTCGTATCATGGAAGCCACGGTGACCATTGTACGAGAAAATGAGGAGAGTGTCCGGAGAATTATCTCCTATGAACTTCAACACGCGGCTTAATAATGCATTTGCGGGATGAAGATCAGGTATGATGAATTTCGCCACCTTGAAGTGGTAGGAATGCTCGAAGACGCTTGCCAGATCATCAACCTCTTGAAAAAGATCCAAATCATCCGAAGCCCATCGAACAATTAGTGCCCTCACTTTGGCATAACAATTCGAACGTCGATCTCGAAACGCCGTCGCCAACTGTTCTTTTAACGTATCCGACCATCTATAAGCGCAGTCTCCTTCGAGTCCATGCTCCCAAACAACTTCCTGGAGATGCTCGACTCTGCTCTCTAACTCCCCTTTCTGTTCTTCAATTTCTTCGATATATTCTATTCTCTCTTCAAGCTCTTGCTTTTGCTCCTCGCTCTCTTCGATATTCTCCAATCTCTGATCTTCAAGCTCCTGAATTTGCTCTTCAAGCTCCTGCCTTTCCTCTTCGATTTCTTCGCCCCGCTCAGACAGTCTTGCATTTTCCATTTCGTATTCCTGGATCTCACGTTCTCTCCTCGCAAATTGGAGTTTTTATAAATACTGCCGACTGAAGATATGCCATAGTTGCAAAAACATTATAAGAATCAGCATTCGTCAAGGCCTTCGACCTATCTACAGTTTCTTCTCCAGCTTTACCACCCAACATCCAGACTGCAATCATACCATATGCTGCCATTTGTGTTCCTTTATCACCAAAAACCTTCTGATCAACAACTTTACTTTTTATCAGCAAGATATCAACCATACCAAAGGAGAGAAAACTTACCATGTGGGCTCAAGTCAAGGAAATACATCATTTCATGTAAGAAAATTCCCGAAAGTGATCGAACATTATCCCATTCAACTTCGACTTCATCTGTCGAAGACCTCATGCTTTTCAAGCTTGTCTTATAGTGGGCAGTATTGAATGCCTCGGGACACATGAACATGTTTTGAGTTTGCCAGTATGTGATGGCTTCAGCAGACTTTGGCCCACACATTTGACCTCCGTTGTACTCATCGATCATGAAGTTGTAGTTCTTACCACGTTTGTTGTCTGGATCTTTCCATAGCCCTTTGACAACACTGGTATCAGTGAGTCCTTGAGCCTTGACTAGACACGATTGTTGTTAGCTACTCACAGTACTCTACAGTCGTCATGGTTCCGCCATCGGGAAAGATATCGATTGCTTTCTGTGGACGTTGTTAGTTTGAAGTCTCTCCAAGTGGTTACCAGATCATACAGTAGTCCATTTTAATGTTGAGTCGTCACAAAATAATGTGTTCTCGCTTGCGGTCATTCCTTTACCGGAATTCAAAGCTGCGTAAAGTCTTTGGTAATTTGCTATAGATTTGTTAAATCTCTTGAATCCCTGCTTTGGAGTATGTTTATATATACATTGCGCTGCTTTCAGTTGAGTAGTATCAGCTGCACTTAATGAAGATGACCACCACTTAGGCTCCGAGACTCCCCAAGCAGTGGTAGCAGCCTTCGTAAGAGATTTGATGGCATTGGAAGCGACATTGGGGTTGAATTTGACTCCAGCATTGAGAAGGGTGTCAATTCCTTGAATGGCATTGTTTACCATGTCGATTGTTTCCGTTAACATGTCATTAACCTTGGAGGTCGAACAAGTGGACGAAACTGTGAAGCGACTGCTCATGTTCACGGCCATGGCCTGACCAATTAGGCCTGTGGTTAAAAGATATGGTAAAAGCTGCATTTTGTTGTTCGAAGTCTATTGAGAGAATATAAAAAGTTGGAATATAAATGAGAGATAGAATAGCTCAACGAAGGCAGAAAATTAAAGGTAAGGACAGACAATTGCTATAAAAGCAAAAATATGAAAAATGATTGTTTAAAAAAAGTTGCCTTGACTACTTGGGAATGTAATATATATTCAACAATCCGAAAGGCGGAGACTGATATATTGTGAGTATACGGTATTACTATGGCTCGTTTGCTCACTGTGTACAATTTCCTCGCAACCTAAAACGTCATTCCAATGCATTACCACATGGCCTCAATTTGATCCTACTTCATCCTTCTTTCAGGAGTATAAGGTAAAATGCCGAGAAAGACAGTAGGATCTTAAGGTTAAATCGCTTGAGACCTTCAGTTTTTCATACAGTAAGATCTTAAGGTTAAATCGCTTGAGGCGCAGCTAAATTCATTGTCATGCAAAATACTTACAATTCACCTGACATAAGCAATGATTATGCTTATTTGTGGTATCATGCTTATATCTTCATTTCGTTTCTGACCGTAATCATGTATTTCATGATTGAAACCGAATGATAATAATAAAAAATGCGATCCTGATCCTTTATACCCCCAGTACCATGGTTGACGAATTGACCAAGATGTTGACTAGTATTCGTAAATGTCACCTCTATGCTATCATATAAGATGTAGTGTTCCGGTTTTGATACTCCTAATCCAAACCTTTCTTGGGCGTCTTATACAGTCTTTTTCTCCCTTTCTTTTATTCATTCATTCGTTTCAAGATGCATTTTTCTCCACAGTCTTTTATTGCCTCCGTGCTGATGATTTCTGCCGTTCAAGCATATCCAGGAGTTCAAGCAGATTCCGTTGATGTTGATTTAGCTACGACAACATCAGCAATTACTTTGGAGACTTCTCCACCTTCAGAAGGATTCCTTGACGATGTAGGATTGTTTAAATTCTTTGCAAGGGCCGCGAAGAAGACAAAGACAAAAACTACAGCAAAAACGACTGCGAAAACAACGGAGGCTGCACCGACAACTCAAAAAACCACGGCTGTAGTGACCACGCCCACAACCACTTCGATCAAGACTACCGAGACTCCAACCATCACATCTATATCAACAAAGCCCACATCGACTTCAACGAGTTCGATCTCGGTAGTGGTACCAATTAGCACAAGTACTAGCTCCAAATCTTTGATTTTGAGCGCCAGCTCGGTTTCTGAATCAACGATTTCGAGTTTGACATCTAAAGTCTCATCTTTCATTATTTCTTCCACTTCTAGCTTATCAGTATCATCTGGATCTGTATTATCAGGAGTTGGATCGATTACCAGTAGTGGATCTTTATCTTCTCAGACTGGTACTATCTCCACTAGTGGGACAATTTCATCGGGAACCGGCTCTATCACCAGCGGTTCTCTCACGAGCAGTGGATCAGTATCGTCAGGAATTATCTCCGTCACCTCCAGCGGGTCCTTTTCATCAGGAACAAGCTCAACCTCCATTTCCGGCAGCGGAACCACAACTTCCTCCTCCCTCTCATCGTCCACCGGCTCAATCTCCTGCTCCGTTTCAAATACCGTAACAGACATAACCTCCTTTGTATCCCCAGCAACCAACACCCTCAGATCCGTCACCAAACTCTCCACCATCTCATATTCTGCTTCTATTAGTAAAATCGTCATTCCAACCGGATACCGAGATCCTATCATTAGCGTCGAGGCAGGAAATGTGGCTTTCTATAAAGCTGGTGTTGCGGGATACTCGAGTCAATTGAGTGCCTACAGTGCGGCATCGACACAAACTAGTGGGATGACTACGCTCGCTTCTTCTACGGGGTCGTTGTCTGGGTCTGGAAGTGTCTCGAGTGTCTCGAGTGTACCAATTGGTTCTTCTTCGTCAAGCGTATTGAGTGTGACGTCTATTGAAGTTGCGGTTGCGAGCAGTGTTGCCACGGAGGTTTCTAGTATTACTAGTGCGTCATCTTCTTCGGGAATGGATGTTGCTTCGGGTATTCTGGGGGGAATTTCCTCGATTCTTGATATTTTTCAAGGATGAGGTTGTATAATGTGAGGAAATGGGGAAAGGAAAAAGGGGCTAGATTTAGGCGCTCATGAATTCGTTGTCTTTATATGAAACTGACTCGTTTGATTCTATCATGCGGAGACATATTTTATATAATCTTGATGTATCAATGTGATTTGATACTTCTTCATGCCAAGAATTTCATAACAAATTATCTACTTTGAATATCCCGTGACAGATTTGAGTCTTTAATCCGATCGGTGCATGACGCTCTAAATTCTAACAGTAATGTGATACCGAGAGCAAAAGAAGACCCACTAGTGAGATAGACCCCGAAATGATCTAAGAATCTAATATTTCAATGTCTATCTATCTATCTCCATATTCCATGTACTAAATCTTTACATTCATGTTCCCGTCGCGAACTCGTCTATTGTTTTCGGGTCTTGGGTGTTTCGATAATATATATACATCAATAATTGCTTCAACACGATATATAAATATACTCGATTACCATTCATAGTAATTGTAATGCTAAAGTGACCACAACGCCTACTTCTCGCTTCTCGCTTCTTATACGAATCGCAATAAGCGAAAAGTTCGAAGGGAGCAAGCACACTCGCGAATACAAATTCCTAGTTTTAAAATTCACTACGAGTATATAAGAAGAGACTTAAGATAATATGAATATGAACATAAACATAAACATGTTTTCTCATTCAAGTTGCGACTACTAAACTCCTACTATAGTAAGCGTCGTTTTTGTATATATAAGAATATTGCTATTAATCAATAATGCTGTCATTATATATACTCGAGTATACACTAACAAACAACCCCAACCTCTCTTTGAAACACTACTGTGACAAACACGGAAAATGAAGTCATTTATATATAGCCTTCAGACAACCCGATTTTCATATTTGAACTATGAACAAACTGATCATCTTTGCGGATCTCTAAAAAATTTAGAAAATGAAACAGAAGTTATCATCCTTATACCCCAACCAAGAATTTTCACGAACGGAGACGCTGCTGTGCAGCCGTTCCTACTCTATGTACTCATCGGTACTAGTTATAATCCACTTCTACATTCTCACAGCATTAGTAAACTACACCCTCTTCAAGGGATCACTCATTAGCTAACATATACATCTCCCTGCTCCTTCCCCTCCCCCCTCTTTAAAAGGTGCCATAAAATCCATTAACTCGAGGATCGAGTACAAAAACCACTCACCTTTCATTTCATTATTTATACTCAATTGCAACTTATCAACTACAGTACTCGTATAATGATAGTATAAAAAGAATTTCCTTCCCTTTCTAGGACATCGATTCTAAAGCTAAACTCCTGGATATAATCAGACTGTTATTTTGAGATCAGGTATTATACTCGTGAATGTATTTAAGTCAAATCCATTACTCGAGTAGTCGATGTCTAGTAATCTATTATTTTGTATTATTCCTGTTCGAGACAACGCGAAGATTTATAGGGATTATCAGTATCTTTCTTGTATACTACTAGCATATTTCATATAATATATGCACACTTTCATCACCCTTAACTAGTAGTAGTAGTCGAAATATAAATACATAAATTAAAGATTATTTCCAAGTCCAAGTTCAAGTTCAAGTTTTCACCTCCGAGTCTTGTCACGGTCACGGTCACGATTACAGTCCATTCATTCCTTTCCTTTAGTTCACTAGTAACGAAAAGAGTTATTTAAATCTATCTTATTATACATATATAGTGATACAATTGTTGGAATATCACTAAGATCATAATAGGTATAACAATAGTAATATTGTATAACGTGGTTTATCAGTGCGTCACGCATATCAGTGCCTCGCGCACTTTTTCACTACTCAATCATTTCAAAATATTATTCAATAATCACAACATATAAAATTAATTGAAACTATTCAGAATCTGATAAACTAGAGTCTTCTAAATCCTCCTGACAAGTTTGTATATTATAACCAGTTTTACCACAAAAGCCACAACAATATAAAGTTGATTATTCCCTA